AGAGAGAGAGATAAGAGACAGAGAGCAAGCAGGGGCGGGGCAAAGACAGAGGGAGACACAGGATCCGAAGCAGGCTCCAGGCTCTGAGCCATCAGCACAGGGCCCGACGCGGGGCTCGAACCCACGGAGCATGAGATCATGACCTGAGCCGAAGTCGGATGTTTAACCACCTGAGCCACCCGGGCACCCGTTACGGGAGCAGCCTAATGAGTTTTTCCATACACATATACCTGTGACCCTTGGCGTGGGGCAGTCCGCGTGCCCCGGAGGCTGCTGGGGCCCCTTGCCAGTCGTCACCACCTACCCCGGGTTGGCCCCACCTGGGGTCTGTGTTCTGAGGACGCAGCTCACTGGGTTTCACTTGGCTGACGCACTTTTAACGGTGGTTCCTCCGTGCAGCTGCTGGAATCACTGATGAGTAAAACCAAAGTAGTAGTTTTTGAAGAGCAGTTCACACTGTCACGGCCCTTCTTGCGTTCCAGGCCCTGCGCTCAGCCCTGTGTGCATATTTGCTCACGTAATCTTCACAGCAGGGCTACAAAGAAGGAACTCTTAGTCTCCTTATCCTACAGATAAGGAGAGTGAAAGCACAGAGAGGTTAGGTAACTTGCCCAAGGTCACACAGCTTCTTAGCGGCAGAGTTTGTGTCCTGGGCCGGTACTTCTCTCGGGGAGACCTCAGCACCTGTCCTCTGCTTCGGTACTCAAAACAGCCCTGCAGAGACGTGGGGTGAAGTCCCCTTTGTGCTGATGAAGACACCGGGCTGGACCTACTCCCAGAGCTGGGACTCAGACCACAGGGACCCGACCCCAGAACCCTTGGCCCTACCACCACACCGTGGCACCCCCGCCATGGCCTGGCCTCCTCTCCCGCCTCCCGCCTCCCACAAGCCTCCTTACCGCTCTCCCTCCCTCTCGTCTTCACTCCGCGCAGCTGCTGACGACCCAGGGGGTGAGTTGCGCGCACATCTACAGCGCCCTGGACCAGACGGCCCGCAAGATCAACCTCGCCAAGTTCACCCACGGCAAGTGCTCCACCCTCATCGTGACAGACCTGGCGGCCCGCGGCCTGGACATCCCGCTGCTGGACAACGTCATCAACTACAGCTTTCCTGCCAAGGGCAAGCTTTTCCTGCACCGCGTGGGTGAGGAGTCGGGAGCTGGATCTGGGCCCCGGGCGGGGGCCGCGACCACGGGGCTTGGAGCCACAGCTGGAGAACTCGAGGGCCCATGGGGAAGGGCCCATGCGTTCGCATCTCCGGGCACGGCGCGGGCACGATTCCCACGGCTCTGAGCGCCGATCCTCCCACTTTGACTCCCCGTCCTAGGCTCGCTGCCTCCCTTTGCTGTCATGGTGCCCGATGACACGTCCCCTGAGCCCCTCCTCCTCACAGCCCCCTCCCTGCAACTCTGTCACTTTGTCTGGTCAGCTCCTCTCCTTTAAACCTTCGTACGATTTAAATACCCGCGGACCCCTCTGCCTCCTGTTCACCCACGGTGGACAGGGGCTCCTGACTTTGTCGAGTCCGCGCGTGGGGCCCCCCTTCCTCTCAGCCCTCCCGGGCCAAGTACTCTTTAATCTCCGGTGATAAAAGTAAGGCACACGCATAGCAGGAAAACTACAAGATGAAACAGAGCAATGGAAGGCAGTGAGTCACGTGCCTCTCGTTAGTGATGTGATGGCCACTCGAAGGTCCCCCAGCGCTCCTGCGGGGCCAGGTGCCAATGTTTTACTCGCTCTTTTTGTCTTTGTGACAGCCCTACGTAGCGGGTGTCAGCGGCATCGGCTCCGTTTCACAGATGAGGAAGCTGAGGCCAGGGAGGTTAATAACTGGCCGGGGGTCATACAGGTAGCAAAGTGGGGCAGCTGGGGCTGGAACCCCTTCTTCACCGCCATCCCTTCTTGCCTCCCTGGTGACATGGCTGTCACTTTGCTGTGTCCCTCGTCACTGCTGTCTTTTTAAAAACAGCGGTAAAGCGTACATAACACACAGTTACCGTTTTTAGGGGTGAGTTCAGGGGCAGTGAGTACGTTCGTGTGGCTGTGCACCCATCACCACCAGCCACGTCCAGAACCTTTCCTTCTTTCCAAACTGAAGTTCTGTTCCCATGAAACACGAGCTCCCCATCCTCCCTCCCCCAGCCCTGGCCACCACCATTCTGCTTTCTTTGTCTCCTCTTCATTCACGAACGTGCGTGTTGCATTTGTAAATGCCGGTAAGGTAACCATGCGTCCGTGAGAGAAGAATCTGGCCGGCAGGTTCTGTGTATTCAACGTCGTTGAATGAGTAAACGGTGGCCACCCGTGGTGGGCCCCGGGAGAACCGCCTCCACCTCCAGTCGGGGTGTGTGGGAGGTGCCATCTGGGTCCCCTGCTGCGGGTCAGGGGGCCTGGTCTCCCTTTGGTTGCTGCTTGTGGTGCCCTGGTTCCCATGGCTCTGGGGAGGGGTGGCTTGCAGTTTCCTTGTGGGGTCCACAGAACCCCCAAGGGGACTTTCTCCTGTGCTCTGTGACCAAGTGTGAGTCAGACCACCCCAAATGAACCTCCTGAATATGGAGACACTTTGTTTTTACGAGAGACAGAAACAAGCCCAAAGTAGGGTCACCCTGGGGTTCGCTTAACACAGAGCGAGAGTCGCCGGATATTCCTTCCCGTAACCTGTTTCTTCCATCAGTGTACGTCGTGCGTGTTTTTCGCTCATCATTAAGCATCATTCTATGACGGGTGGGCAAGTTGTGTTTGTAAAGGACCAGAAAGTAAAGATTTGAGGCTCTGGGGGCTTATAGTCTCAGTGATCTCTGCCTTTGTAGCGTGAAAGCAGCCCTTGAAAATACGTAAATGAAGGAGTGTGGCTGTGTGCCTGTGAAACTTTATTTATACAAATAGGGGTCCGGCTTTGGTCACCGGCCACAGTGTGCTGGCCCCTTTCCTCGCCTGTATAAGTCCCACCCTGGGGTTTCCAGCTCATTCATTTAGCCAGTTCTCTGTCAGGTCTTGGGGGAAGATCTCCCAAAGTGGGGACACTGCACACTTCTGATACTGACAACAAGCGAGGTGCCTTATCTTTGTTTCTGCCGACTTCCCAGAGCGCGGCGTTGGCTCGTGCGCTCGTGCAGGGAACCCCGGTGACCGTTGGTGCCTCTTCTCCTTTTGTAGTTGGGGACAGCGGCTCGGTGAGGTGCGGCCTTGGCCTGGCTTGCTGCTTTAGAGTGGGGCCAGTGGGACTCATGCTGGGCCGTGGAGTCCCTTGTCTTTGCGTCAACTTGACCTTTTCTTCCCACAGGCCGCGTGGCCCGGGCGGGCCGAAGTGGCACAGCCTACTCTTTGGTGGCTCCAGACGAGGTCCCCTATCTGCTGGACCTGCACCTGTTCCTCGGCCGTGCCCTCACCCTTGCCCACCCCCATGAAGGGCCCTCAGGTGAGCAGAGGCCGGGGCACCGGGACAGGAGTTCCTGTGGGTCCCCTGTGGGTTGCTGGTGCAGTCCGGGGTGACGCTGTCCTGGCTTGGGGAGGAGGTAGGGCTCGATTTGGCCCTGGGGCGAGATCCCCGTATTTTAAATTCAGGATTTCACATAAAAGTCCAGGTTTCTGATGTCTTCTGGAAAACAGTCAGGTCTGGCTGTGCTGAGTCTGCCTTTTCCTGGGGTTGCTGTACAGGCAGTGCTAGGCCACACGCCTGGATAGATGCCCCCCTCCTCTCCCCGCCCCCCCCCCGCCCCCGGGTCACTGCAGCCTTCACCCCCCACTTCTCTTGTGTGCCCAGCTGCTGGAGGTATATGTTTGAGACCCTGCACTTAACTGAGTTTCTGGGGCAGTCTCAGGCAGGTAGAGGGAGACTCGGGTTTAGGCCGAGCTCACAGAACTTTCCTTCGCTCTCTGTGGGGTGGGATCACGTAGGGCAGGAAACGGCGGTCATGGCAGCCTCCACCTATGGGCCTGCCACCCGTCGAGCCCTCAACGCACACGTTCTCGTGCGTTCGTCAGAGAACTTGTGAGGCCAAGCCACGCACCCCGCGTTCCTTGTTACCGAGCAGGGAGGCGGGAGGCCCGGTGTAAACGGACCCTGTGCTCGGGGCCTGGACACGGCATACGGCCCTGCACGTGCTCACCGGGCACCCACCGTGCGCCGCTTCTGTGCCTTGGAGCGTCAGGAGCTCCTGCGGCCGAGCCCCTGGGCCCGGCACCCAAATGCCATTCTGGAGCCTGTGGCAGACCCGGATCAGCACCGGGCGGCGGGGGTGGGAGGGGCAGGGAGAGGGAAGGAGCCCCCACAGCAGCGTCCCAGCAAATGTCACCCACAGAGTGGTTGGCTTTCAGTGGAGACCATCCTGCGTCTGCCTGAGCGCCAGCCAGGGTGGGTGGCCTGGCCCGGGGCCGACTTCGTGCAGAGGAAGGAAGGCCGGCCGGCCGGCAGGCTTCTGACTCAGCGTGGGGGCTGAAGAGCTGCTGGGCAAGACTCCCGACCCCGGCTGAGCCTCAGTTTCCTCTTCTGTAAGGGAGTGTCGTGGTGATTCGGTGGTCTTGTGGGCGAGTCGGCAGAAGGCCAGTAGCCAACAGCTCGGGCTTTGCAGGTCATACGGTCCGTGGCACCTGCTCAACCCTGCCCTTGGAGCACAAGTTAGCCAGAGGCAGTGAGAAAACGGATCAATGGGGCCGAGTTCCAGTACAACTATATTCGTAAACACAGGCGGCGGCCCCGGGGCCGTAACCATGGGCGCCCGGTTGAGCACATCCGCGCGGCTGGCGGTGGGAGCTGCTCCGTACCTGCGGCTCATTTCGTGATTCTGGGGCCGGTGAGGGGAGGGCCGGCCGCAGGCCGGGGCCGGGCCGGACGGGCTCTGCGTGTTTGCTGGCAGGTGCGGCCGGTGGGGACGGGGTGCTGGGCCGGGTGCCGCAGAGCGTGGTGGACGACGAGGAGGGCGGCCTCCGGAGCGCCCTGTCAGCGTCGCTGGAGCTGCGGGGCCTGGGCCGGGTGGCCGACAACGCCCAGCAGCAGTACGTGCGCTCCCGGCCCGCGCCCTCGCCCGAGTCCATCAAGAGGGCCAAGGAGCTGGATGTCACGGGGCTGGGCCTCCACCCGCTCTTCAGTGAGTCCCTGCTTGGGGCACGGGACGGGGGGCAGTGGGTGGGCCCCGCTGAGCCTGCCCCTGGCCTCACATCTCCTCCCCATGCCCACCAGGCTCGCGCTTCGAGGAGGAGGAGCTGCAGCGGCTGAGGATGGTGGACACCATCAAGCGCTACCGCTCGCGGGCGGTGAGTAAAGGGGTGAGAGCACACGGGGGGCGGGGTGAGGCCCTCTGCGGCCTGGGGTCACGCGGCGGCCGCCATGGAGCCGGGACTCTGGCTGAGCCCCCCGCCCCCAGCGGGACCCCGGCAGGGCTTTCCTTCGGGGTTTGCAGGTTCTTTGTTCTCAGCTCTGGTTCATCGGTATCTCTAGAGGCGCCTCCCGTTCTAGAACCATCCCGGCTGGTCTGCAGTAGGTTCACCATGTGGTAGCCATCTCCTGCCACTTCCAGAGGGGTAGACTGAGGCTCACAGAGGGGAGTGACGTGTCAGAGGCCCGGAGCTGGCTTTCAGTAGCCTCTCATCCCCTCTTGACGCCCCCTGAGCACCCCACCTGGTGCCTGTGCGGGGCACGCGTGGAAACGCAGAGAGACCTTCCTGGGAGTGGGCAAGCCAGGCAGCCAGTATCGGGGAAGGAGAGCTGGAGAGTATCATGGTTACGAGCACTGGTGTCAGGGCCACGTGAACTGGGCTTAAAATCCCACCCTGGCTTGTCTCAGCTGTGTGACCTTGGGTTGGTTACTTGCCCTCTCTGGGCCTCCCGTTTCTAATGGTGAAACGCAGGTAATGAGAATAACCACCTCGTTGAAAGGACTTGGAGAGAAATGCCATAGGGACCCCCCCCCGACCTGTGAGGGCAGGGCCAGGGAGGAGGCGGCCCGTGGGTGAAGGACTCCTGTGTCCTGTCCGCAGACCATCTTTGAGATCAATGCCTCCAGCCGGGACCTCAGCAGCCAGGTGATGCGCGCCAAGCGGCAGAAGGACCACAAGGCCATCGCCACCTTCCAGCAGGGGCGGCAGGGGCGGCAGGAGCAGCAGGAGGGCCCAGCTGGCCCAGGCCCAGGCTGCCCGGCACCCCGGGAAGAGAGGCCTGAGGAGGAGGAAGAGGCAGCGGGAGAGAGTTTGGAGGTATGGGCCCTACCCTGGGGACCCTAGATTCTGGGCCTGGGGGGTAGGGGCAGAGGTGGGGCTGTTCTCAGGGCTCTGAGCAGTCGCTGCGGGTGGATGCCGGGTCCCACCCCTGACACGTGCAAATCGGTAACTCGGAGCCTCAGCCTCCCCGTCGCCGAGTGGTCCCTGTGCCTCGCCCAAAAGCCCGGTGCCGGAGGTGTCTCAGGATCCAGGATCTTCAGGGTGGGTGCCCTGTGTAGACCTAACACCCCATGGAGGTCTGGGGGGTCACTGCTGCCAGAGGCATCGGAGGTCCTGCAACAGGACGTGACGTGCGGCCCCCACGCCGAGGTGACAGGCAGCCTCTTGGTGGCTCAGCTCGGCCTTTGCCACCAAGTGCATTTCAGGGAAGCTCATTTTCAGAACCTCGTGGACCAGGGCACAGCAGCCAGTTGACAACGGTCCCTGGTCTTGGGCCCGCAGGGCAGATTCACGGCAGCACCCAAGGGTCCCTAGTGCTGGCCGTATCATTGTCATCGTCCCTGTGACCGTCTCAGCCTGAGGCCCGGGGCAGGAGGAAAGGGGCAGAGGGGACTCTTGTGAGCAGTGGGGCATGACGCAGGCAGCTTCAGACGTGGGACCTTCGTGCCGGAAGGCAGGCCGGGGGGACACGGACAGCCTGTCCACCTGGTGGGCGAGGTCCTGGATCTGCTCGTCCACCAGGATGTCCCTCTTCTATTTGATTTGGACAGAGGGCTCAGCAGCCAGAAACTACAGGTGAAAACCCTGGGACTAGTCCATACTGTGTAGAACCAGGCCAGGCCCAGAGAGGGGCAGGGCCTTGCCTTGGTCACGCAGTCTGAGGGACCAGCCTGGGGCTGGAAGGTGGGTCTTGCCCCTCTTGGCACCACAGCCCCCCTCTCCCCTACCCGGTGTTTTCTGCCGGTGCTGAGGCGGTGCCGGAACGCGGACGAGGAAACTGAGGGCGGAACTGGCAATACCAAACTTTTAGCCCCTGGTCTCGACTCCGGCTGGACTGGAGGGTGGACAGGCCAGCTGGGCTCCCCGGGGGCTGCCGGTGTGACCGGGGCCTCTGTCCGCCAGGATGTCTTCACAGAGGTCATAGGCCGGAAGCGGCAGCAGCCGGGACCTGAGCGGGGAGCCAAGAGGCGGAGGGAGGAGGCCCGGCACCGGGACCGGGAGTTCTATATCCACTACCGGCCCAAGGATTTTGACAGCGAGCGGGGGTCAGTGGCTGGCTGGTCCTGGGGTGCGGCAGGTCGGGCCTGATGGGCTCGC